CCCCAAAACCCCAAAACCCCAAAACCCCAAAACCCCTGATTATGCTCAAACTTTGACAATAAATTTTATTAAATAACTGGAATAATATATAAATGCTAGGGAAAGTGAACAAGACATTAAAGCTACGTAAGACCAGCACGAGAGATACTATGTCTAAGAGTGGTATTAGCCAGACTCTATCAGACGATCTGTGTCAGAAACAGCCAACTAATTCTCTATGAGCTTCTGAGAGTATACTTGGACCATCTGCATCATATGGAGATACTGTAGAAAATTATGAAGGCACACAAGCATTTCCTTGCGAGAATTCACAACAGAAAAATGTGTCAAAGAGGATGAAGCAAGTGAAGACTGAGGATATCTCCAGCCTTGTAGATGATCTTTGTAGGAATACTAGCTCACAATCCCCATTCCAGGCTTCATCTCAATCAAATCTTTCGAAGAATAATCCTACAGAAGAGGCTAAAGATGGTGGATGTTTGGACCACGATAGAAAGCAGATCAAAGACTTGGAATCTCCTTTGGAATTTGAGCTTGAATCCTACTCGAATTCTAATATAGCCAATTATAAAAATTTTCCTCCATCTCAGTCTAATAACTTTGAGTGGAAGAATAGTTCAAGCTCTAATTTTAATGCAAAATCTGAAAGCGAAGATTCACTATGCGTTTACAAGAAAATAGCCAAGCCTCCATGCCCTGATTTTGAAGGCATCTCTTTGCCCAGTCAGAATATGTTTGGATTAAGCAAGAAATCAGAGGCTTCGCAGCCTGCCAGTCTAGATTCAGGCAGCCAGATATGAGGTAATCAACAATTAAGCTAGTAATATATTTTTTAGAATTTTTGTGAATGCCTCAATTCGATGAAACTTCTAAAAAGTTACCCAGCTCAGATAAAGACCGAGAAGAACTAAACTCTTTGAACTTAGATTCATGCTTGCTCAACTCAGTTGAGAACATTGATATCATATTCTTAGATCCCAGCCAGATTCCTTCTTGGAACTCTAAAGCGAACGAGATATCATTTGGGCACCAGAATTGTTATGAAAATATGGTCAGGTAGGCTTTTTCCAAATTCGCATGATTTCAGATAAAGTATGCCAGATTCATCAATTGTTCCTAAGAAATTTCATAAAATTTACAAATACCATATAGCCCATCAGTGCAATTTGAGAAAAGCTCTGAGCATAACGAAGGCATGAGCGCACCTGAAATTCCAAATATTTCTGACTTTGACTCTTGCAGCATCTTCAAGGACTATACAGGATCTGATAACCGTCAGAAAGTATATATCAATGTTGGAGATCGATATAAAGGAGAAAGAGCGTGGGAGAAAATCTATCAACTCTCTAATCACCTGGAAAAATGAAACCGAGAAGAGATTATTTCCTTCATTACTCGGATCAAGAAGAACCAGAATATGGGAGGCTGCAAGTCTAGCACCTGCAGCAGGAATGGACTATCCCGTTTTGAGAGATCGACGATTAATGATAGAGTCTCAAGTAGTGTTTCCAAGAGTTCCATTGTGTATCCATGAAGGCTCCAGCAGAGGATTTTCAGACTGTTCCGAAAATGCTTCAAAGTAGATTTCGAAGAATTTCTGAAAGAGAAGAAAATCATTTTTCACAAGGTCGCAAAGGATATGGACCGGGATACTTTCAACGACTTCCTCATTGAGTTCCTCGATTACTATTATCCAAATATTTTAGAAAAACTTGATGATGAAGTTTTGGAAAAAATCATGGAAACGATGAGTCTCTTCATTCTCAAGCAAAGGCATAAGAAGAACTATAAGATCACTGAGGGGCTTGACTTTGAGGCTTGGAACAGCTTAGTAAACCAGCCTAAATCAGAGAAGTTCATCCAGTTCTTTAGCCTCCCTGAGAACGCCTTCATCTATTGTTTCTTCTTCTACAAGGAGTGTAAACTCCTTGTAGAAGAACCAACAAGTTCGGTCTGAAGGAAGAACTCTAAGGATTCTAATGAAGCACTTTCTCTGTTTAACCAGATGCATGAGTTGTTCAATGAATTCCAAATCTTCGTGTCAGAATCCGTGCGGGAGGAGATTTCTCACCTAACTCAGCTCTATCTTCAGCAGATATAATTATAATACCTCGTCTGGCTGGGAAAATGCAAAGCTAGACAGAGATCTCTTGTGTTAATTTATTCTGGGCCAAGGCACCCACCCAACCGGGTGGGTGCTTCAGCCCAGCTAATATTTAAGCAAACAATTTCTTTTGAGGTTTACATTTTTAAGATGGTTTTTACGAATTTTTATGGGTGGATTTTACAAATAGCCTATCATGTGGTTTAGAGATTCAGTTCGTTTGTGGTGAAATCAGGGTGATTAGATTTCAATAATTTTGGCTCATTACAATAATTTGTCTGGCTTTATTTTATTTTGGAAGGTGAATTAGATTTTATCGAAATAATATCATCATTAAGGTATGTACGAGAGCATAATTACTTTATAAAAGAGGTGAAATCTTAGGGCATATGAAGATTAATATTGATTTCAGTATATAATACGAAAAACTAACTTCTATAAATCCAACTTTCAAAATTCAAAAAAGCTTCTAGTCCAAAACAGGATTCTAAACTCGTTCCTTTTATATAAATTGCCCATATTTACCTCTAAAATCTCTCAATATAAAAAATCTAAGATGGGGTTTTGGGGTTTTGGGGTTTTGGGGTTTTGGGG